TTTCTTGGTTACTTATTGTAATAATAGTGTCTACATAGAATGAAATGTAATGATTAAATAAATTTTAAAAATTAAACAAAATGATGCCGTCCGAGTTGTCAATCTACATTACTTGAATTCTATAGAAATTCACTTTGATAACATCAATAACCGCAAGATCGAGTGAATATTAATAACAGCTGTGTATACGAGCGGTGAAGTGTTGGCTCGTTTAAAGGTAGAAAATTCTCGTTGGCGAGCAGCCGATCGCGGACAATTAATAACAAGCAAAGACGCGACATTTCAATATGGGCATCAATAGCTGCAGTTAACATACAAGTGACTCGATGATTGAATCTTCTTATCCAAGGTTTAAATCTATGAGTAAGAACGACGACCGACGTGCATATCAGGGATACAGTTACGCTTCATACTGACTGCGCTCGACAGTCAAAACAGCTCGATCCTATCTAATTATGTAAGTTACTAGCTCCTACATATATGTGTATACGTGTATACATAAATATATATATATATATATATTATATATTATACGATATGTATATGTATAGGTGCGTGCATGTATTGTATAATATATGGCCAGAGTTTACAAATTAGCTGTGGTTACGAGATGCCTGTACACGAGCGTCGGCGAAACACTAATCACGGTGATTGCAGGGGAGTGCAAATCGTCGGTGGGATAATATTCCGCGTAATTGGTTCAGCCCCTGTCAACCTGTCTAGCTACCGGACGATGTCTTAACCTGACAGTCTATACGGCACGTAAACGTGCGGGATGTACGCATTTTCGCAAGGTATCACCTAGCATGTCTGTTCGTGGAATCTATTACGTACTCCGATCCAGTCTTGTGCTGTAAAACATACGATTCTATAAGCGGATATATTTCTGGATTTCCTACCGTTTGACGTGAAGGGAAAAATGAAAGATTATAATTACAAGCGAACCGGTACTTCTCTCTCGTGCGGGGAAGTTTGTTTTAAATAGAATCGTGTTTGCCCTATGATTTTATCGGAATAATGATTCGAAGGATGAGAAAATGAAGTTGCCGCCTTATTTTCGTGGAACATCAAAGAGTAACGGTTAAAAATAGCTGGACGGGTAAACTAATAGGGAAAACCACTTTACCCGACCACCGCTTGTTACTAATTGATTATTGCTTTAAGTAGATCCTACTAGTCATTGTTTAAATTAAAAAGAGAAACCCTTGATCTCCAAGTTATGAATTAATAGTTTGTTACTGTTCAACTCAAGCTTCTCGCGAATGTCTTTCACATGGTTATACTATTGTTCATAATATCCTATGTATCATCTACTAAATTAGGCATTCCTAAGTTTAGGTGCAAAGAAAACATTTCATTGTATTATGTCCTGTACACTTGCACCAAGTACCTTGTAATTTCTACATACGTACTCTCTTTTTTACGCGCTAAATTACAATATAATTTACGCGCTAGTTTTTATGCACGATCTGAATTTACGCGGCCAGACAGGTCAGTGCTGTACGAGATAAGGATAAAAGTACATTACGTTATGCTAGTCATCATATTGTACATATTTTTTCTTTTGTACTAACGGACTTTATTTACGCGATTTTCATTCCTGTAAAACGAACCCACGTGAAACGGGTATTTCGCGTAAATTGAGGGACGGGTGTATATTTTCCGATTCATTTCAAACTTTATGAGCATAATCATGATAGTCGATTCTCCTAATAATGCTAACGAAATTCCAAAATGTTTCCTATAACGCACATAATATATTCGTAAAAGATATCTACAGGCGTCCAAACATGGTCGCGAGTCAGCGAACAGTCTGTTACGATATAATAACTAAATATAACTAAATAGAAAAAGAAAAATATGGCAAAGAAAATGTTGAAACTTCGGTTTCCTTCATTATCGAAATGATAGCCAGAAGTTTGCAACTAATGAAGAGCAGCGTGTACATCATCGGTCGTTAGGCATTCTTTATAAAGACGTCGAGGTTTCTCGCGGAATTCTTTCTTGACAGAGCGGTGCAGGATGTTTCCTGGAAGGTGGACCTGCACCTGTCGAGAATACTGCGTCCACAATGCCACCGGCACGTTCGCATCTCGTAGTTGCGTTCCATCGACTTCTCTCGACTGCTGATCGCCTTCCGTGGCCATTTCTGTTCCCACGGGAGTCCGCAGAAACGAGAGACTCTAACGCCCCTCGCAGTCGGATTTGCCTATGACGCCGAAGGGTAGAACTTTCTCCCACATATTAATAAGTTATAGCTGGTTGATCAGTGTTTCTTTTTAGAAGGTAGACCCGAACGGGGCAACAATGGCCGAATTCGCCACGGGAGATCCGGTCCCGGAGATACGTTCGGGATAGACTTTGACAACGCGATCGCTAGTATTCCGTAGTATATGTCTATACCTTTGGATCGCAGATCAGATAAGGGATGCGTTTGAGAAACCGACCGACGTCCTACCGACCGATTTCGCCGTGGTTCTAGGTTCGCACGTATTTTCTTGTTCTCTTTATCGGCGTCCAAGTTGCCGCTATGGACCACTGCGACACTATACTCGTCAAAACATCCCTTGTAAAATGACCAAGAAAGGAAGAGAAAAGTTAGACAAATGGAGAGAAAGAATGGGAAAAGGATTTTAGACAGAAATCCCAAGCGAAAAGAAAAGGATCGGGAGTAAAGTGATTGTTACGGAATCCACGTGAGCGTATCGGACTCGAAATCGTACCATTGTTTTGTCACATTCGCTTTCTCATGGTTACGCTTCCGAGAAATTTGCTGCTCGCACTGTTTAACACCTTTCTCTGAAAGATGCACTCGAGAATTTACGTGCACCGCGTTGCCGTGGTAAATTAGCGAAACTGAGAAAGTTATCGGAATGAGATGAACCCAAGCAAGATCGAAGGCCCTCGTGTATCTGAACGTTTGAATGATTGTTTAAGGAGATGCGTTTGAATCGTTGATATTTTAATAACATATAAACCGCAGCGGATATGTACCAGTTTTTGCGTTCATCGAATCCTCGCACGCGTGAAACTCGTTTAGATAATTTGATGTATTTAATTGACCACGAGAAACGCATGTACGAAAGAACCGATCGCGGGCCTCTTGGTAAATGATTTAATTAACTTTCCAACCGGTCTCGATTCGGCTGGATTACCAGCGGGAGACTTTGTGCCCGAAAGTCCTTGGCCAACGGGTGTCCAGAGAAGGTTGGCCCGCGACGACAGAAACCTCGATGTTACCAATAATTTGTGAGATGTCGGTTGTGCTGCATGCGACTCGCGAGCACGACGTTACAACGAGAGTAACGACGATTTCACATTCTCAAGATTTATTCTTCTCGCGGGAAACACGCAAAGTTCAGTGACGCTTGCGTCATCGGCTCCGCTTCGAAGTGCCGCTGTTAATGTCTCCTTGCTCCGATTTTTGAGCGTAAATAACTACTTGCTCAGCTAGAACCATTTCAAATGGCAGTAGTAAAATATTCCGGCGTAGGAATGTCTGTGATTTATCGCGGTAGGAGTAATAATTATTGTGTGCGTACGTGGATGTAATAACGATCGGCGATAGCGACGTTATTCATCGGGCATTAATTTACTGTTAACCCGCTATGGTCGCATATCTAATGCATAATGGACCGGTAGTTTCATCATTTTTATGTAATACTTGTCACAATAGAGTTGCAATTCGAGCCATTTGCTTCGAAAGTGTTTTAACATGTTATCGTAAAAAAAAAAATTGCAACGTACGGTGTAACGCAAGTGTCGCGAATGAAATTGGTGATTCGCTTAAATAATGATGTAATTGATAAAAGTTATCGTGCCACGGGATTCACCAAAACCTCCAATTGTATGATTCATTGGGGATTAGACGAAAGTTTCTATCATCTCTGAATACACCTTCGTTGACGTTACTCGATTTCGACCAACCGATAGCGTAGAATCGATGTAGATTTGATGACAAAATACATTAGGAATTTATAGATCTTAATTCTACATCTAAATACATATAGACATATATTCCTACATAGTACATATTTACATTTCTTTTTTTTTTTTTTGTTCCTAAACTGGCAATAAATAAGGACTTGTCGAAATGAAATACTACTTTCAAACGAGTATGCAAAGTAGAAAAAATCAATTGCCATTTATAACAACTCGTTACTTTTATTATACCATTTATCACATCACATATTCGGAAATTATACAATTTTCCGCCTAATGTATTTTCAACAATTATCGTCTGATACACTATTGCAAAGTTGTCATTAATTTCTCCCATAAAATTAACATTCTTAGACTAAGTGTTTCACACGAGCTTAAAATAATTCGAACAGAAATATTAATGGAAATATTTCGGAGAAGTAGTTTCTTTTTAACCATTATTCGATAGCTTCTTCGAATAATTTATTCGATAAAATAATGATACTTTTTAAAATTTACTTTACAACATTATTACCTTAAACTATTTTGACCTTTCCAGACCCAAGCAGCATTTGCCATTTAATCCCAATCAAATCATAATGATTAAGCTATTTTTAAAAGCTATGTAGAATTCGGCGATTCTTTTTACATTTTTATAAGATGTTTTTACATAATATTTAATAATTGAATGTATCTTTATATTTTCGTATCTACCTATTACCTATTACCTATACATTATATATCTACCCATTACTTATCGACGTTGATATATCTCCATTAAATTGCCACATGATACAATAAAATATGTTTGATATCTTAAAACTGAAGAGGCAAGAGTAAAATAGAATTTTAACTCCAATTTAACATAAGCTCGTACACGGTTAATGGTAGCAGTAAAGGAAGAACATTAACGGAATTTTATTTGCTTTGTACGTTCTAAGTAATCATTTCCGATATACTTATGTTGCTTTCTACCCGATGACCCGATCACGTCATTATATATACTAGTTATAACTAGTTGGAAAATATTTTTAATTGGATGAATCACATCGGAAGTTAGTGCATCGAACAGAAGTTTTCAGCGCGTGAACTACCTACCGATAAACGCTAAAATGTCAGCGATATCTATTCGATGGCTCCAATCTACGTATTCCTTTTGCGATCAGCATCGTGCGGTAAATTTCCAAGAAAAAGCCGGCGTAATCGTATTAGACCGCGTGCAAGTCGCCGCAAGAGGATCTTATTGGCCGAGAGCAGAAGACGCCCACAACGTGCACGCTTATATAGTACTCTAGTGCTATGCGGTGTTCATTCATAGTTCCACTCCTGTCTAGTCATTCATTAATCCGATACGGCGAGAGTGTCCTTACAGAGCGTGCGCTGATCACGACTCTCAATCGTTCGAGTGACCCCCTTCGTGTTCGCGCTCGCGCTCATTCGCGCGCCCGTGTGTGTGTGTGGGTGTACAACGTCCTACGATACTCGTGAAATCGAGAAGTACCAGCTCGTCGACAAGGTGGATTAACATCGAACACGGAGAATGCGAATAGGTGAGAATGACTCACGATCAGACTCGGTTTCATACGAACCTTCTAGGAAGCGAACAGTTTACCGGCGAGCACGACGCGTGGCTCCGTTTAAAATAGCCGATGCCGCGAAAAAATCGATCCGCAAGTGCATCCCTTGACGATACACGCACCGAGAAACATCATCTTTCCTTTCCAAGTGCTTTCAACTGAATACCGCGTTTACAGTAATTTCTAATGTGTTAATTATCGGTGTTTAACAGAGTCTTATTAATACAGCGCGATTACGAAGCGGTTGGTTAAAGAAGATATTCCAGTTCAAGGTATGCAAGTTTCATCGATTTTAACATAACGGCATAGTCGGCTATTTTTACTTTCTCGTAGACATCAATTTTCCGATCTCGTCATACACGCGTAACACGTATGTGTTAATAATTATCGAGATGAGTACGCGAATGTGTCTTGTGAAGCGAGATCGACGGAGCTGCACGATCTTTTTTTCCTCGTCGATCGATCATTGCTGTGGGTGGGTTGATTCTCTCGATCGTCTCTCTGAACGTTAACGGAACTAATGGATTTCAAGCTTCTGCTCGGCATCGAGAAGGCGCAAAGTCGCCTGCAGCAAATCGCTCGTGCCACGGCTGTTCGAAGGGAGTTCAAAACGCCATTCACATTGCCCGGCAAAAGCCGCTATCTTTTATTGTTCTTTTATCTACCACTCGATTCTTGAAAGCGAATGAAAGAAGTGGCGCTTCCTCTACGGTTTTTCTACAACAAACGAGGAATGCGACGGTCAGGTAATCGCTCTGCCTTCAACTATTCGAGTGATTTTATAAGAGGAGACTCGCAGCTGGGTTTAATTCCCCTTGTGCGACCCAACTATCAGTTTTTGTACCTCTTCTCTCTCTCATCTGCACTACTTCCTCTTAGCTGTTTTTATCGGAATCTTAAGTTTTCCCTAATTACAATATACTACCTAACCCTTTCTCGTGTTACATATAAATCGCTAAACGATAAAAAGTATCTAAGTATTAAATTCATGTTGCTAAGGATAAATGCTTTAGCGAACAAGCAAACTTACGTGCTAGATAGTTATCAAACGTGAATCATCCTCAGCGGCGCGGTGGCGTCTATACATCACTGATTGCTACCTGTCGTGTGGTAACTTTATCTTTAAGCAAGTTAATGCGAACAATGACATGATACCAAAACTATTTGTGATTACAGAGAGATACATTTGGTTGAAAATTTTTGAAAGATAACAATACGAGATTAATTTGTTTTTTTTCATAAACACGTGTTTTCTAACAAATTAATACGTACGGATAATTTCAATATATAACATTTAATGGAAAGTTTGGAAACATTAGTGTGTTTAAAATTTAATTTTATTGTATCTTACACAGATTACGTTCTAGTCTTAATATTCAATTCTTAGTTTATTCAATGGTCGAATCTTTTAATCTTTCGTGCCGAAGATTGATCAAAAAAACGAGAACGTTTTCTTTTAAATATTTTGCACGTAACAATGTTTTAACGAAACAAAAATGAGACAGTTCTACCAACCATAATAACACTTCCTCTGGTTGTTTTGCTTCCTCGCTGTGCTCGAAGTTGACGAAAGAATGGCCGAAGAAACGTGTCTGAGGCAAAACGAGAAATAAGTCGTGCAACGGTGCCACGTATTTCCGTTCTAATGACTAGCAAAAACTTGACACCTGCATCGACACTAGTGTCGGAAACAACGACCGTGCGCCGAGAAATCGACCGATTTCAGGAGTTAGCCTTGCGTAACGAGAATTTTCCATTTTTCCTGCCGAAGTACGCTAGCCAATTGTTCGAAAAGAGTATGCGCCTTTGCCGCGTTATATAACGAAGATGTGAAAAACAGAAATGATAAAACTTGGGGAAACCCCTAGTATATACTCTCCTTGACGATGTCGATTCTTATCGGTTAACCAATCTTGGGCAATGTCAATGCAATTCGATGGAACGGAATATATATTCAAATAAAGCAATGTTTCATGAATATTCTTACGTATCACGGTTAATATGCAGAGACGCATATATTACACAAATTGGCACAATATTATTAATGGCGTGAGTAAGCATGACTTGCTGGAATAATGCAGAAAAATTGTACGAAGTACAGGATATTAAAAAATTTCTTAACTTCTGACAGTTATTATCAATTAACACATCACAATTATCACTTTTTTCTTTGCAAAAGGAAACTCTGCGTTCATTATGCGACAATTGCTATGTACGTTATCGTTCATAAGTATATGCATCATAAGTATACTTTTGATATTATAGATTTACGATACCAGCAATTCAGAATCCAGCAACTATAAATCAAGTAATTAAAAATTTTATTGAAATTTTAATTTATTGACGAATTAATTGCTGCGAGATATACTTGTTATCTTCTTGGCGAAGCTAGCAGATTATAAATGCAGATTTTGTTAAAAAAGCAACGATAATACATTTTTTTTACAATTAAATTATAATTCAGAGTCTCATTTGTCGATCGTGTGCATCACTGTTTGAGGTAATGTCGATACTCCCGACATCGATTGAAGAAGTATCTCGTTTATTCGTTTTTTAGTTGAGAAAATTAATCCGTAATTGACATGGTTTCTTTACATACATAGACAGAAATGTTCAGAGATTTACAAAATGTAGTATTATTGGTTAATAACCAATGATTATATACACATTGGTAGTCATTAAGTTAACCATTGGTTATCGGTACATCTTACGATGCGACGCGTACTTTCCAAATTATCAGAAAAATAACAATTCCTAGTGTATCCTCTAGGAATAAGTGAGTTAGAGACCCTACCAATTATAGGGTAAATACCATGGTGAAAAAAGAAACTCCTTTAAACAACAAACTAATTCTACGAGTTCCGACAATTGGGAATGTCAATTTTGTTGTTGTGTATTAAATTTTAAAAATCAATTTCATCACGCCATAATATTCTACTACACATATAACTGTAACAGGAACTATAATTAGTTTGATGTTGCGAAATGTGAAAAAATGTTCTAAGTATTTAAATTACTGGTTATAATATTCAGTAGGTAAAACAATTATTTGCCTAGATCTCATTTCTTAAGTAATACTTTTCAAATAATGAATTTTCATAAATATCTATGATATAGCATTAAAGAACAAAATAATTGTACACTGCTTCTTTTCGCAAATTTCTGATAACATATTCCGTTTAAGAAAAGATATACTTTTGAAGTGTAGCGTAACTCTAGAAGATAGGAACGATTTTATCCTGTATTAACAAGACGATTCACATCGGCAAATGACTCGCTTTACGGAAGGATCTTCCTCGACATGCCGTTAGGCTCGACTACCGGTTAATTAACGATGTGACACCATAATTGGCGCGGTAATTCGATCCCCTTGTGGATGAATCCTCGCGAGTGGTTCGCATGTCCCGGGGCCTAAGGTTAAGACAGCGCGCGCACATCGTTAAATTAAAATCCCGAGGCGACCGGCACCATCGTCTGGAGTTGCAACGGGCCACCTCAGCGGTGCCTTCTAATTTGCAGCGCATAATATTCGAATAATTTGCACGCGCTAATAGGACCGAACGTCCTGTGGAACCTCGAGGAACGCGGTCCGATGCATATAGAAAACACCTTACGCACCGTCTCCGAGCGATGCAAATGCCTCACCCTGAATTGTGGCAGATAATATTGCCCCCTTATCGAGCATATGCGATAAGTCATTTTCAACTACTTGATCAAAGCATGCGACGCGACACATCTAATCGCAGGCATAATGTTTTATCAGTGACGTATCCGACGGCGCGGCATTTCGTCCCGGTGGATATACTAAAAGTGTCGAATGCGTTCATCGTGTGGCGCTCGTTATCTCGCCAGTCATTATTGTTTGCAAACTTTTGCAGTACTACTTCGATAAATTTATTTTTCGACATTAATTTGATGGAAGGTGTCAGAATTACTTGTCGCACGTTTATCGATATTTTTGTTTTTAATGTTTAGACGCGAATGTTACGATATCTATTCTGTAAAGGGCGTTTAAATGATTTGGAAATTTATTACTAGATTATTCGGGAAGTTTGTGGTGAAATTTAGGAAAGTTTTGAAGGTATTCTATCTTTATATAATTAGTTATTAATTGTTATTGGATAATAATGTTGAAATAGAATTGTAAATAGAATAGATTGTTATATTGAAATAGAACGAATTTAATCAGTGTTTAATATTAAAACAAAACGCGCAGAAAATTTTCGATACTTGAACTAGAATTTTATCGGAACGTTGCGTCGCGTCACAATCTTCGAGGGAGTCGACGTCATTCTATATCAAATCATATCACGATGTCTCTTACATATCGGAGCATGATGCCATCGAACATACAGATCATCAAAAGACATCTAATTCCTTTCACGTGACACAAATTCGCAATATTTTACACTGATTCATTCACTAATCTCAAGAGTGACCTTGTAGGAATTTCGAATTTCTCAAAACTCATTGGTTATTTAGTCTAGCCAATAAACATCTTCAATATAATCAAACTCGATATATGTTGGAATTACTTTTATACGTTCTGGATTTCAAGTAGTATACTCAGTACCTTTATCGAGATCGATGAATCGAGTGACAAGTGCGCCGAAGGGGTTAAGAGTACGCGTAATGAAACGATCGAGGTTCGGGGAAACCTGGTATCTATCCCCCACGCAAAGAGAGGGTGGCGTGCAGCCGCAGGTGGGAGGGCAGGGAGGACTGAAAGGTAGCCGGAGGAGCAGAAGGAGTACGGGAGGGAGGAGGTGGGGTGTCGTAGGAGGTGGTGGCAGGAGGGAAGGAGGTGGGACCGAGTGGCGGTGAGCGAACGTGCAAGAGCGAGAGGACGAGGTGAGTAGCGAGCCCGTGAGCCCGAGTGAGTAACTGGGAGTCGCAACCGAGGACCCACTCAGTCACCACGAGATCGGCAAGCCGAATGGTCTACCGCGCCGGTTCTCCCGCTCGGAACTCTG